GGTCAACGGTAAAAGAAAATTGACTGCGTCATTTTCCAAAAATTAATCTGTGATGAAATAAATAAGGATTGTTTGACTGAGTTCTCCTTGTCAACGTATATTTGTTTCTCAGCTATTATATCTGTTGGAAAAAAATACTCTATATCCTTTATTCCGTCAGAAAATATACTGTGATATATCTTCCAGTGGAAATAATTTTACAGAACATTCCTTCCTTTTGGAACTTGTATTATGGAGGAACTTCTATTCCATGGCATGATGGCGAGACATTTTTTCAATATAAATTAATCATGACCCGCTTTCCTATACAAAGACATACAGAACATAGCTGTGATCTAAAAATAATAAATTTAGGAAACGGATTGATATAAGTTAACATATAGGAAACGGATTAATATAAGTTAACAGCTTGTTTCAGGATCCTATTAATTATTAAATTGTATTAATATGTTAATGCCAAATTGTGTATATTATTACTTAACTTGAATTTAATTAATAAAATATGTTTACACTAAAAAAAAATCGTCACTTAACGACTTGAAAAAGAGTGATGATCCTTACATGTATGTGATCAGAGATTTATGTTGATTAAGTTACAATAATCATATAGGTGTTAAAATAGAACGATACTTAAAAAGGTTAAGATAACCATGCAACGAATTGCCGTTTTGAAATTCATGATACAGGACATAAACCAAATGAAGAGAAACGCCATAGCAGTAAATGGCGTCATCATAACGTAAAGAGGTAACAACAACATGTGAAGAAGAAATAAAAACACGTAACGTAACGAGATACACAGGATTTAATATGTCAATGTGACAGCAGCCCAACAATAAAAAAACAGAAAAAAGCATCTAGAGGCCAACATGTTGTCTGAGCAGTGAACAAATAGATAAGTATGAATTGATTAAATACACATAGACTACAAAAGCTCTGGACACCAACATTAAATTCCCAAAAGGTAACAAAACAATAACATACAACAAAAGACAACAACTGACGAGTGTTTCAGCATCCAATGCATCACGGGTAATATTTTTCAAATAATTACACTAAAAATGCTGAACAATATTGTAACGTTCCGGGGTTTTCTTGTCAGGATATACCCGTCGTTACTTATGTGGGCCTCTGGTGAAGGAAATAATAATAAACATCATATAGGAGTTCATAAATTGTATTAATTCTATTATTTCTGTTTAGCAATACAACACATACAGTGGTTCATAAAACCAAATACGTTAATGATATATACAATAAGTAATACAGCAAGGTGCATTACTTGCACCAAGTTAATAAAATAATTCTTCTAGCGCTCGATGCAAGAAAATCTACTTGGGACACGGCATTCTAGTACTCTGCATACTTGGTGCAGGAAAATCTACTTGGGACACTGCATTCTAATACTCAGCATACTCGGTGCATGGTTAGCGATTTACCCGAGCAAACAGTACGTCAGCATTTTTATATGAAGACTTGGTTAATTATCAAGTCTGATAAATAATATCACCAAGCACTTTTACTTGGTGCAGCAAATTATGATTTGAGAGATACTGCTAACTGCATGGAGGTTCTTGGAGAGAAGCTCTCAGTAGGAACATGCGTCCCGTATTTTATACAAAATCGTCGTTACGTGTGACGTAATACACAAGTTATTCACAAACAAGAACAGGAACACGTAACGTTACATTTGGCGCGTTATACTGAAACTAAGTATATACAAATACAAAATGAACAATAACACACATAAATAAAGTCGATATATAGATTTAAAGAAGTCAGTATATAATGTAAGGTCCAGGTAAGCTATTTCTTCTGTAAAATACGAATCAGAACACAACAACGGACATATGCATGTATCAAGTGTGGAACGGAGACCACAGTGATAGTATAAACACATCTATCTTATTTACACAAGTTAAACCACAGTAAAATTATCAGCTTTCAAATCACCGGGGCGTAACACTACCCCCTACCTTATATAAAAAGGATGTGTCCTCAAATATGAGAGTATGTATGTCATGCAAATGTCATTTCATAATATAATATAGAATCAACATAGAGCAACTTGGTAAAGGTAGTCTCTTGGTGTAAGATTAAAACTAATAATGTTTAGTAAGAAACACATCATAGAAATATTAAATATAACAATCCATCATCCAATCATGCAGGTTTTTCCACTCTTCATACTGTCTTCCTCGTCCTGTTTATCGTCTTCTGTAAAATGTTTAATATATTTATTCGGTACTATACATAACTCCTAATAATTATATTTTGTGGTGATAAAAAGTCCTTCATCAATATTAAAGTTACATAAAATGTTATAGCTATACAAATGTCTTTATGGTATTCAATGAATGGTTGACTCGCCACTTCAAGCCTAGTTAAAAATCAGTTCATATACAATTCTTGTTAATGTTGACACAAAAATATATACTAGTAGCTGATATTACAATTCGGTATCCAAATAAGCAACAGTATTCCACAGACTATATACCAGTCACAGGACTATACTGAAAATTCACCAGTACTCCACAGATATCTTCGTCAAATGACGTACGGGTAACACCCTTAAAATATATCAGTTTTCCACAGACATTCTTTCGTCACAGGAAACGACTTCAAAAATATAACATTAGCAACAATATTCCACAGATAATATACCAGTCACAGGACTATACTGCTCCTAAAATATGGTATATCACAGATACTCGATCACAGAAAATACTCATAAAAAAATCACCAGTACTCCACAGATATCTTCATCACAGGACGTACGAATAACACCCTTAAAATATATAAGTTTTCCACAGACATTTTCCGTCACAGGAAACTTAAAAAATATAAACAACCAACCATTCTACTAATTCAGGATAACATGAATATATATCAGCGACAAGAATTACTAACACACCATTCATTGACTTGTATTTAGTTCATGTGACTTACATCCGATATAATAGAATAATACTGGTCCGGTTCCATGGTTTTATTTTTACTCATGGAGTGTGACTAACCCTATTATTTACACATCGGGCAGTTACAGAGACATTTACAATTTCTGCGTGTGTTATTTTTGTGGTCAGTGTATAGTGGTAAGTTCGGATCACCACTATTTCTTGCAAATTCTACTTCGACAGCATTATATCAACGACAGGAAGACAACAACAACTAAACAAGCTTTTGTTTCTACTTTTCAGCATATTTCTGCATTACATTCAGGAATAAATATACAAAAAATGTAAAACACAAACATTAAAACAAAATTATACGAAACCAATATTAATGAAGTGATTCTCTATTATATAGGACAAGCTTTTCTGACATGTCCTTTTTCACCACAGCGAAAGCATTTATTCTTTATCCCAACAGACATCCCAACGATTTCGTTAGTTAAGCTATGATACCTTATTCTATCTGCTTGGTTAAAAGTATCAAATCTAATTGCTAAAATTTCAGCTTCATTGATATTTTTAGGCCTTGCTTCTCGTATTCTGAGACGCATTTCAGGGTCATGTAATGCATCTATAAATTGGCCCAAAGTCAATATATCTGTTACAGAGGAAGGGGCACCAGGATAAGCACAGCGAGTCATTTTTTTAATATCTTGACTGAGGGCAGATAGAGATTCATTATCTTTTCTCACTCTAGTCTGTAGCTGAGCTCGGAATATCTCAGACCTATGAACTGAACCAAATCTACTATGAAGGGCATCAACTAGGCTATCAAAATTTCGCCTTTTAAACTCGTTTAATTCATTTAAAATGGCTCTAGCGCCACCTTTCAAACTGCTAGCCAAACAGAGTGACATTGTATTATAGTCCCAACCATTAACTTCAGCTAAAATTTGAAATTGACTGAGATATTCTTATATATCATCAGTACCATCATAGGGTTCAGGTTTCATATTAACTTTGTGTTTTTGTGTAACACCAGCATACTAACTTGGATCAGATTGTATACCCCTGGTATTTTGACTATTATTGTAATTTTGATAGCTGCTTGTTTTAGAATTTGGAGGTATACATGTTGTATTTTGGAGCGGTTTAGGTTCTTGTACTGCATGTGTTTTTATGATTTCACCTTCTGGAACAATAATTTCTGAATTTTCAGATTGAATTTGATCAGATTTAACCTTTTGTTTATTAAATTCTTCTCTTAAATTAAATATTTGTTCTCTTAAATTTGATACAGAACTGAGTATTTGTTCCTCCAAATGAATTTTCAAATGTGTGATTTGATTTTGAAATCTTTCTTCCATCATAGAAAGATTTGCTGCATTTTCGTGTGTCACCATATGAAATGTGTCCCTTATTTGATTTGTGAGTGATTCAAGTATTTCTCCTACTGACTGAGAAATAGCTGGTGAACTATTAGATTGAAGGGCTGCTTGAATAGATTCATAAGAATTCTGCGAACTTGTTCTCATTTCATGTGTATTATTAACCACTGTATCATCACTAGCAATTGATGATCTATCAGTTGGATTAAATTGAATTATATCAGACTGCAAAGAATCATCCATTTTAAAATGATTTATTTTTCAAACTTCACCAGATAATTTTTTTTTTTAATAATTAAAAATTTTTGAATCCCACTTCTGACACCAGTGTAACGTTCCGGGGTTTTTTTTGTCAGGATATACCCGTCGTTACTTATGTGGGCCTCTGGTGAAGGAAATAATAATAAACATCATATAGGAGTTCATAAATTGTATTAATTCTATTATTTCTGTTTAGCAATACAACACATACAGTGGTTCATAAAACAATGAAGTTACCAACAATTAATGAAACGATTATTATACTTCGAGGATCTCTTTGTTCATACGCATGTACTTAGAGAGTCCACAGGAGTTATTATAATTCTTATAGTCTGACGATTCACTGTAAATATATCACCAGTTTGTTGATTTCCTTCAGAAGTGTTAATACTTTGAAGATAAGGTGGAGATATTTTGATGTATTTAATTACAAAATGTTTATTGTTATATTCCATAGTGCCTTATGGAACATGGTATAACTATGAGTTAGAAATAGAACGAGCAGCGAGAGACTTTCCTGGGATGATTTTTACCTGTTGTTATGAAGATATGAAACAGGTAGTTAGTTATCTTCATAAAAATATTTTGAACACTTTTGTTGATAGTGGGAAATAAATAAAGTATAAATAAATTTGTATAAAACCTAAACGTATATAAAACTGACTGAAACTTCAACTGTAAGTCCTTACTAGCATCTAGATGTGGAGCACGATCTGCTAACCCTTTCGGGGTACCCGGTGTTTAGTGGGGTTCGTGTTTTCTATGTAGTGTCTTGAGTACTTGTTTTTTATCATGGCGTTGTCAGTTTCTCATCAACTTGGGAGTTTTGAATGTCACCTTAGTTTTTTCTGTCCTTTTTTAAGAGAAAATTGGTGGGAATAGTTATTTCTTTGGAAATATTTTTCTGTGTGAATACCAGACATATAGCAGTCAAATATATCACAAAAAACTCTGATCATAGTTGACCATTTGGTTATACTAGTACATTGATATTCATTGTTGCGGCCCTACATGTCAATGGCATATCGGGCAGTAAGTAAGTAAGTACTTAGTAACACAGTACAAAACAGTTTATAATTAACACGATAATTCAGATGCAAAGAAAACAACCGAATTGAAGAGCACGATAATAGACACTTTGTCGAGTTCAGTCCAAAAGCGATGGTATTCTTGTAAAATATATAGCCGAAGATTTATCTAATTTCCAAAACATTTCACAAACTTTATTCTCACCTGTAAAACTTAAATTTTACCATTACACCAATGTTGTCCACATTTCTATTTCATAGACTTCTTTTATATTTGTTCACGATCTTTCATAAATTCAAAATGAAGTAAACATGAATGCTTGGAATTAGGCTTCATTGCTAAATCCTGAAGCTTTCTTCAAAATGCATCTATTCAACTTTAGACAAATATGAGGATTTGACAGGAACTGGTTTCAGTTTGCATTGAATTTGGAACATTTATCAATGACAAAATGAAACAACCGTTCTTTTGAGAAGTTCATTTTGATAGTTATGTCATCGTATAAATATTTTTAAAAAAATCATATATTTAATACAACAAAGTTAAGAGTAACTGACATCAGTTGTTTCATAATTTAAACCCTTAATGTTAACCTTTTATAAAGAAAAATATAACCTATAGATCAATAAGGCCTTATTTTTGCCAAAAGTTTATAGTTGTCGACCAAGCAATACTAAATTATATTATTTATTCAAATCAAAGTCTGTTTTACTTAAAAAGCAATTGTGTAATTGCATGACATCTGCATGGTCAATCAGATGACATATTGTTACTTAATGTTGCTTATCATTTTTCATGTTATAAATATGTTTTCGTTGATTAGGTATTCATTCATTTATTCAGTTTTGTTACATACGGACAAATATATATTTAGTGCATCCAACTTCATTATGCATTACTTTAGTTTTATTACTTACACTGATTTACTCCAGGAACCTGTTAGAGAGATAAAGAAACTTGCAGATTTTCTTGGTATAGCATGTTCAGATGACACCTTAGAAAAGATTGCTAAAAAAACATCATTTGAGAATATGCAGAAAAACAAATTTGATTTCACCCAGATTGTAGATGGCAAAGGATTTATATTTCGAAAAGGTATTTATATAATTTGTCCGATTTACGTGTTTGTGTATGTAATGCGGCGTTCATACAATGCCGATTATGGCTCCCGTTTGAGATCAGACAGCGCTAAGACACGAAAAGTTAAAAAGTCGGATTACTATCCTCATTGATCTGAAATGTCCTAACATTGTCTTAACGAAGTCGTATACGTTCGTAACTGATTCCTACGGATCGGGAATGGTCCAGAGAGGTCGACCGTAGAGGTCAACCAAACAACCCGACAGTTAGGTGCGTCCCGTAACATTCCGGGAAACTCAGCCGATTTTGTCTAGTCGGATTACAATCGTGACTGTGTCGTGCCAGATTCTGATGTATCGGATTAAAATCGTAACAATGTTCTGTGTTTTCTGGACGTTGTCCTCTGGAACGTGCATGATCTGGAGAAATTTGTCATTGCTGTTTTTTTGCCGATTGAGTCTAGATTGCATCCAGATCTTGCCGAATGCGAACTGTCCTTGCTGAAACAGTTCCGAAATAGTCCCGTTTTTAATAAGAAATTCGGCAATGATACCCACGTTAGGGTCCCGCCATTTACAGAACATAAAACGACTGAGTCCAGACAAAGTCGTGTGCAATGCGGTACAGCAAACTGTCATAGGATTGCGTTCCGACAGTACCTGATCATCCCGAATATGGCGACAGTTTACTAACGAATATCTTCCGTCAGCGTCGGTTCACTGTCTGGTCAATTTCTGACCTCTGTCGGATCACATTCGGTAGAATCGGGACGCTATCGTGACAAATTCAGTCGTTCTGTACCATGCGAAAGATACAAATCGGATAAGAATCGGATTGAGAACGGGATAATTGGGACAAATTCGGTTGGAAACGGCTGAATGTGGACGCTTCCTGAACAATATCTGATTGTTGTCGTGATTCAATAAATATTTTTACAAATTTTGATTAAAGTTTGAATTTCCAGCCACGATTTACAGGATCTTGATCAGACTTTTGACAAATTTTAATCGGGAATGGTATAATACTAGTACTAAAATGCAAGTTTTTTAACCAAAAAGTGTACAACTCCTGTATTTGTTTGGGCCAAATTCAGAGAGTTGTTTAACGTAACATGACTATGAAAATCGAGGACATTAAACAAAAGTGTGCTATGTTGAAGCAACGTATGTTAACATACGTGAAATAGTCAAAATGAGGAAAAAAGTAAAAATAATGTTGAACTATTTTTCAGGTGAAATAGGAGATTGGAAAAACCATTTTACGGTCGCACAAAATGAAAAATTTGATGCTCAGTTTAAAGAAGAAATGAAAGACAGTAAATACAAGATAACCTTTGAATAACATACTGTGTATGACATTCGCAAATGAAATTGGAAGGCTATTTAGTTCCAAACTGTACATACTTGTATACAAAGCGGCCAAAAATTGTACAATCGAGATGTTACAGCAAGATTAATAAATAAAGTGTATCATGTAGTTTTTCAGTGTCCTTTATTAAAAGTTTACATTTTGGTGCCTAAACTGTTATGAGGAAATAAAATGGTTTCCAAATGATTTTGTATTGTACATTTTTGGGGGGATTAAAATAGTGTCATACGTAAAGGCGCTTGTCTATAATTGATAGCCAGATGTCCACCTCTACTGTATTTTCAAACGAGTCTAAACACAGTGAGTCTAAATAATAAGGAATCACTATACTAGGACTTGTTGTTATGACTTTAGTGTCTTTTGTGGATTGATCACCTAGTCTATGTAGAAATAAATTATTATGTAAACAATGTGTGTATATGTATAATTATTTTGATGAAGAATTATATGAAATAAATGAAATGAATTAGACCAATCTGTCATTCCATGAATAAAATTTTTTTTTTGAAAATCACTTAATAAGCTTTCAAACTAAAGTCTAATAATTGTTGTGGTGCCTGTTGTATCATCTGTAATGCCTAGCTCTGAATAAATGAGGATGTTTGGTTTTAAAAATGAGACGACGATGAGCTGAAAATTCTTCATATCGGTTTGTCATTCATTTTTCTACTACAACACATTTTCTGAAAAAGAAAATTTTTCTTATGAATTTAAAATTTATAATATCAATATTTACGTTTCAGGCGATCAGAAAAGATTTGAATATAAAGAAAAATCTGGAATCCAAAATTTTAATAATCAGAAAAAGTCATTTGACCCATGAATGGACCTGTTTGAAGTTATTGTGTAAATGTTGGACCCCCAGAGAATTGAAAAGAAATGAGTACTATCCCTTTCACTCAACCTGTTAATTCAGCTACAAAAAAACAAGATTCAATAGGCCTTGTTCAAGAGGATAACGTTAAATTCTCTGTATTTTGAAGGATTATGAACCCTTTGTTGCTGAAGGTTTTGTGTCATTTAATTACAGGTGATAATTCTAATCTTCAAATAGTAAAAGATCTTTAGGGATACTGTTGGTTCTCAGTCTTCTTTTAAGGGCGTTTCGTCACTGTCTGAGGTGTCTTCAATTTATAATAGTGTTTAAACAGTGATTGAGATTGAGGTCAGGAATTCTGTTGGGAAAATGGAAACCCCATGACGTCCCTGCTGACAAGGAATGGAAAAAATACATCAGATAGTTGACAAGAACAAATATAGAAAAGAAATTTTGAGTATGTTTAACCTGTGTAGGACCATTACAATACAAACAATCTGGCAATGAGTTTATACTATGTGTGCCTCCAGGGAATATAAGAGCTGCTAGTATTTGTATCATTTGTAACATTTTTCACTTCAATAGGACTCCCGTAGTCAATTCAGTATGATCAAGGTTAATATTTTATGTAGAGATCGTTTTATTTACTATTAGTTATGTATTAGTTATGCATAAATCAGTAAAAGTCGAGTGCATAGCATCAATAATCTCAAGATGCATCAGAGAGGTTCCATTCGACACTGACGAATACAATTTATGTGTTTTGAGTTATAAAAAAATTGGGATGAAGGTATTTGTTTGCTTCTGTTTGCTGTTAAGGATTCTGTGCATGAATCTTTAGGGTTTAATCCATTTGAACTCATATCTGCTCATACTGCTAGGGCTCATTAAAATTGTTTGAAAGAACAGTGATTAGATGACACACAGAAATTTTTATAATTCAATTATTTGTTTTTATTTGATTATAATTCCATATAATAGTAAGTAATAAACTTTGAATATTTTGTGTTAACTTCCAAGAGATGGTTGATAAGAAGTAAAATATAAAAGCAATTCTAAAACTGGTATATTTTTTATGCTTCAACTTCTTTCATGATTTGACCTTCCAACTGTAATGGTTCGAGTACTGCTGATAAGTTTTTACAACCTCTGGGTCGATGCAACTGCCGGGAAACGTTTCGTTGGGCTAGGGTATCAGCAGCCCAGTAGTCAGCACTTCTGCGATGACATTAAAAATCACTGATATGTTCATTATTCTGTTTTACTGTGACTTTAGTATCTAATTATTCAAAACGCTAATGATTAATAATATTTCATTATGAATCAAATAAAATGCGTTAGATAATAAAATAAAACTTAATCTGAAAGTTAATTTTCAGTTTTTTACCTGAAACACAGCATATTTATCTAGACTACTATTCATGTCTTCAATATTGCTGTAATTCCTATTTTCTCAACAATTGAGTTGTATAAGAGAAGTAACTTTGTAGCGGTATATGCATCATTTCTACTAAGTATGCATAATTCTTCTCTGAAAAAAAATGTAAAACGTAAGATAATTTTTTTATAACTAAAAACTTTCACTTTAGATATGTACCTTTACGGCCGAATTTGTACAGAAATTGTATATATCATTGAGTGAAACTGTGCGCAGCATAATGCAGGCGCAACCTACCAAAATGGTACCTTGAACACGGTTCATCAAAAAGCACTTAAGGTATGATTTTGTACATTATACAGAAATATGATAAGCAAAAGTTATGGGATAGGAACAAAAATTAAATGTGCTATATCAAAGATTTATTCTTGAATTATTTAGCCATAAGTGTTTGGAAATTGTTAAAAGAAAAGAACAAGTTGCTTTCTTTTTTAAAAAAAGAAAAGCAACACGTGAACCCGAGACCGCTGACTGGTCACCAAAAAAATGTTGCTGAATTTGTGTTTGCTTATGATTTGAAATAATTGACCGTGAATAGAATAAGATAATATGATGATGTTAAAACACCTTTGTTGAACATAAGTTATTGTGTTTAGATTCTTGCACAAGTCAATTGAAAGCAATGTTGGATAGTTGTGAATAGAAAAGTGTATATATACAGCTATTATTTGAATTTACATTTTAAGGCTTGGCTATTTTCTTTATTACTTGGGACATAATTTTTTCATACTCCCATTGCAAATCCAAGTTTCTGCAAACTGGATGTCTAATGCAAATTGCTAAAAACCAATTGCAATATAAATTTAAGCCCTTGGTTTGCTTTATAATCTCGATGCATTTATTTTATCTATCATAACTTCATATTTTGTTTCCTGGATGCCTTCAGTTATTCTTATACTCGTTATTGAAGCTGCCTGTACTCATGGTAGATGATGTATAGATAAATTTTAAGTCCAATTTCCATGTGAAGTGAAACCCTGTGGCATGCAACTTATATGAAGGTTTCGTAAATTTTTCGTGAGAGTAACACACCAGCTTCATTTGGGACCTCTTCAATACTGACAATTATTTTGGTCTCATAAAACATCTCAAATTTTAAGAATTTCCTGAAGTCACTTGAATCAATCCAAATATTCTACAGGAAAATTTGGTTTTGAAGAATATCTTATATTCAGAAGTTTTATGAATACCTCAACATACTCTCAAAAGAACCAATTTATATAAAAAGATATGTAGATCTAAAAAGATACCAGGATTTAAATGTTGTACACAAGACGCGAGTTCAGTCTACGAAAGACTCATCAGTGACGCTCGAATAAGAAAAGTTAAAAAGGCCAAATAAAGTTCGAAGTTGAAAGGAATTGAGGATCCAAAATTTCGAAACAAAGGGTTTGCCGAATACATCTAAGGTAATCTATTCCTGGGGTAGAACATCCGTAGCGTTTCGAAAATGTAAAAGTTTATAATAGGACAGTTACTCAAAAAAAAAGAAAAAGAAAAGAGAAACAGCTAGAGGTCAGAATACCTTAAGAAATGATGACCATGCTTGAAAGTCACATGTCAAGCTCTTACTGCCATGTCCTGAATTTAGATGGAAAAAAGCGAAAATTCACATTCGCGAGTGAAACTAATATTTATGCATGCATGTTTTTTTTTGCGCAAGAAATAGTAAATAGAAAGCAGACGCACTAATACTCTGGATAAGAATACGCATTTGCGTCATCACATATATTAATCTAGGCTCAAATCTAATGTTTAATAGTTCAATTCTGATGTCAAATACCTACCTCAAGTGTTTTGACTCCGGATTCATTGCCATTTAATTCAGAATAGGTGTAATCGCAAACCGATAGTGTGTCGTGTGAACAGGGTGATATATAATGTAAATGAACCAAGACGTGTAGGATAGCTGGTCAACACAATGAATACAATTTTCAAAATCGTACTATATTGCAAAGATTTAGATGCTGTATGGTTGAACTATTAAAAAAAAGAATAATTATTGAAATTTAACAATTAACATATATACATTCCTGTTAATGAATCTTTTCCGAAAATTTAGAATATAATATCAATAAACACAAACGTAAGTATTTACAGATGGACATTTTTTTTATCAAATCAATCTCTTCTTAAAGTCCAGCTTTCCATTATATGAATATATTGCTTTGCAAAATATAAGCAAAGACTTATAAATCCATATTAAAACAGTATAAAATAATTAACGTGGTGACTAAGTAATTATTTTTTTTTATGATTATTGTAAAATATTAATTACGTTTTTGTGAGAAGGATTTAAAATCTTTGTGAATTGAAACCATACAAGTATTTTTTCATTCACTACCGTTTAAAATTTAGATACTAACTTATGTGTACGCATCCCGACTCATTGGTGCTCATATGTTGCATACAATTTTCATAAATGTATTCACTGTTCAAACCTGTGGGACATAATACACGAATATATACCATCTTTAATTATATTCTATAAGGATAAATTTAGTCTCAGTTTAAACTTAATAATTTTAAAAAATATTCTACTTGTCTGGTAGAATCTATGTATGCAATTAAATATTTTTGACAGAAAAATCTTTTTTGTTTTGTTAGTTTCTGCTTTCCGACGCTGTGTTTCCGACCTAAGATAAATATTTATAACAGAAATATAGTTTTGTTAATTTTCTTCATGCTTTCCGACAAATATCCCAGGCTATGATTGAAATACAAAATATCACGTGATAAACGTTCAGTAATAATCAGTTTATTCCGAGACAATATATATTAATAAACTATTACCAGGTTTATTGTCACAATCTGTATTAAACACTACACACAAACAACGCGTACAGGGATCATCTCAAAGCATGAATATATAACGGCATTATCATTATACTTGATATTTAATAAACATTCGCATTATTAAAAACACATATGCTTTGTCAAAAGGCAAATAGGTCTAACATATAAATGATTTTTTGACTGCAACCTAGTCTTTATTTTTTGACAATCCGATCTCCAAATGAACTTTGATTGTTGAAATATACAATGTCACGTGGTAACCTATCCTTAGAGGGACCTATCAAAGACATAGATAACTACTTGTATAAATGATCGAAAATTTTCGAGAGGTACCGAGATTCTTGTTTCCAGATATATCCGAATGGCCCATAGATGTTACTAAAACTCACCAATGTATAGGCGTGAACCCACCACTAAGGGGGTTCACGCAAAAACAAATTCAACCATAGCATAGTATACTTCTTATTTACTCTATTCCCCAAAAAATGAAAGAAATTAGCATAAGAACACTACTGAATGGTAATATATAAAACAATCTTCAAAAAGAAAATGTCATTACCTACATTTGTGCAATCAATGTGTCAAATTCCACCATTGGAATGAAATCAACTACAAAAAAACTAAACTTACAAAATTGAGAAAAATATTAAAAGGTATGAACAGTTGGTAAACATAGTCATACGTGTATATAATGCCTACAAGACTGATTATTATGGTTAAATTCATGTTCACCGATTTACATATTCTCGTATTTGATTTATAACATACTTAAACGTATATCCAAATGACAAAAAAAATATACAGTTAACAAAAGACTCGTTGTAATGTATCAATATTTCGGGCTTATTTTAGTCTAGACACCATCTTATTATTCATCGAGATGACCTCCGAAGACTGCCATTGGTCATATAACCCCATATAAACATGAAATCAAACGTAAACAGACAGGCACACATGTGCAATCGCATAATTACGATTTTCTGGATGTGTTTGATTGCATGTCAAAGATCAAAAAATATATGTAAATCATAGTTTTACAACTATAAGTATGATTTGTTTTGTGAACCGGTTCAGTCAACTAAAGGTTATTTCTGGTGGCTCGCTTGTTTAGCTTTTCATTGTTGACATTCATTTCTTTTGATGAATGAACATCCTGACCACATGCTGAACGCATGCACAACCCATCTCTAGTCAATGGTCAAATTAAAGGTTGCATGAATACGGATTCAAATGTGGTTAACTTATTAACTTGCAAGCCAATAGTACATCAGCGTTGGTTTTTCTTTGGAGCTTATTTCAAACCAAACTGACTGTTAATACAGAAATATCATTTCTGTATTCCGCTTGTCTAATCACTTGAAACTTGATTATCGTATTTTAACTTTTCATCTTATTCGTAACTAATGCCCCTTAAAAACCGTGGTAATTAATTTGAAATAACGTTAGTCGAAGTGAATGAAGCATGAATCGAAAGTCAATTGAGTGTTCTGAGGTGGAAAGCTAGCTGCATCTTCATATGCATGCAGGGGGTATGTTTGAATGGAGTCTAACTGACACCGAAAGTATTTACCTAAAAGTGACTGTAGGTATATTGTAAAAACTGTTTTGGTATTTGGGGAAAATCTAATATAAAGCTTACTGACTGCTGAACCTCCTTTTTTAAAAATTTAAACCAATTATGTCTGTTTGTTTTGCTCACACATTGTTGTCAATATCATGGAATTCTATGCGACTGTCATACAAGTTAGAGGTATAGAATCGTTTTATGTGTTTGAGCTTTTGATTTTGCGATTTAATAACGGACTTTCCGTTTTGAATTTTCCTTGTAGTTTTTGCTATTTTACCTTTTACAAAAGGCAACATACTTGATTTTCATATGATGAAGACCTAATCTTTCAATCAGTTTAATTGAGGTTTGGAGCTGGCATGTCAGTAACTGCTAGATAGTCCTTTGTTCATTTATGTATCATTGTCATTTTGCTTAGTTTCTTTTGTTACCTATTCTGACATCGGACTCTTTTAAACTGAGTTTTACTGTGCTTATTGCTATGTGTTTCTTTTTTCTACATTGACTAGAGGTATAGGGGGAGGGTTGAGATCTCACAAAACATGTTTAACCCCGCCGCATTTTTGCGCCTGTCCCAAGTCAGGAGCCTCTGGCCTTTGTTGGTCTTGAATGTTTTTTTAATTTTAGTTCATTTATATGTTTTGGAGATTAGTGTGACGTCCATTTTCACTGAACTAGCACACAATTTTATTTAGGGCCCAGCTGAGGACCACCTCTGGGTGCGGGATTTTCCCGCTGCATTGAAGACCCATTGGTGGCTTTCGGCTGTTGTCTGCTCTTTGGTCGGGTTGTTGTCTCTTTGATATATTCCCCATTTCCATTCTCAATTTTAACAATAAACGTGTTACGAGAACTGCTATATGTGTCAAGTGTACGATTTTTCCCGATTATATCCAATAGTTTGCCTGCGACAATTCAACCAATAACTGCCGCCAAATTTGTATTTTGCAAACTGCAAAATCAAGTATCTAATGAATTAATCACACTGAAACAATCAAACGTAATTAGTTACCCAAGAAAAAGTAAACTAGGATAATGTGTCCTTAATTCTTTTGTAGAGGTATGAGGCCTATAATTTTGAAATGATGCACACTTCTTTATACGTGGTATTCTTTCATAAAATAACTACTTTATGGGTTTGGTCAAATGAAGTGAAAGAAAGAATATTTACCATTTTCTGGTGAAACAAATCCATGTCGTGTTAAGAAATCCAATGCAATCATTGCTGAACTAGGCCTGAAGTCCTCTAAAAAAATGTTATCCATTATCTGTCAAAACCAAAATTTCTTTCAACTTTTTCTTACAGTTAGGACATTACCACATATGATTAAAAACTTAAAACCTTGTTAAGAAAGTCATACTGTGTATTACTAAGGCTAAAACAGCGTCTATTTTCTAACATACGGTTTATCCATGATTTTTTATTAACTGTACATTGAAATTTTTATTGTAATTTTAACTTTTCAAAAAGAGGATTGAGGAAATAAGGGAAAACTATAGTAACTACACCTTAATGTTGTTATAGCTGTGCAATTTACAATTTGATAAACATAAATGTTGTGCACCTTTACTATAAAACAGGTTTAATCCAGCATTTTCTTCGGAAATGCATGTATCAAGTCAATTGTTTTCCACTCCTTACAGTTGGGTGATAACGTTTGGTTTTGTATTTACATTGAAGTTCGGTATTTTTGTTATATTTTTTTGCTACCCGTTTACTGACCTTTCACGTTTCGTAATTAGAAATTTACTATATTTGAAATGTGGCCACATCAGACTCCCCTTACGTTTCATACCAGGCTTATAATAAGCATTGTTTATAAGTTTTAAAACATTAGGCCAACTAAAGTTAGAGAACGGAAACCAATTTTGGAATGTACGCACGGACGGACAAGGGTATCACTTAATGCCCCCTCCGCCGCAGCGGGGGCATAAAAAATGCGAAAATTTATTCCAAATACTGTTAACGTAATTTAAGTGGAAATACAACTTATTGTTTCGAATAATCTAAAATTACACTCATAATGGGAAAATTAAGGCTAATATGAAACACCTAAACAGAAATAATTTTATATTATTTCTACAATATGATTATGACTCTACCTTTTCAATAGCAATCATTTCGAAACTGCCAATTTCACCATCAGCATTTACAGGCCGAAAATTTGATGGTAGATGTAGGTCAAATACATACTCACACACACGGGAAAACTCCTCGTTTATCTTCAAATATATGGCTGTAATCACATCAAGGTATTAAAATAAATGACATGGTTTCGTAATATTTCTATGCGTACATTTTTCTTATCAACTGATATCCCTTTATTTGATGTGACAAAATATTGATAGTAAAAACGACATAATGCATTATTCTGTCATATGACCTACTACAACTATATATGCGTTTTAAAATATGAAATCTTTTCGACAGAAAAAACTACATCTGACAGCATAGGGTTATAAGGTTACCGACGATGGTACAGATTATATGTTACTGCTGCGAAATGGGAGGTTAACAATTGGAAAGTTGAAATGTGCACGATTGTCGTAGACTCTAGTTTGAAGTCGTCCATCTGGAATAACAATTAGCGAAAAAAGCTAGGTTTCAAGTTACAGAATGATTTTCATTTTTTTAAACTGATTAACTGGCAAAAATTACAGTCCATTGTTAAAGGAAGGTTATTGGTTGTTTTGAAAATGTTTAGTTTCTGAAAATATGATAATCATGTACTTCAAATACTTAAGCTTTTGTTAAATAACTTGTTGATACTTTACAATTAATCTTAAAAAATTAAACTTGTTTCAAATTTGTGTATGCCTCTGTGAACGCGGCCTCAGATAATGAACGTTCTGTATCAACAAAAAATACTGTATGGTCTCTTTCTATATATGAACAATCTCCGTTGTTTTTAGTGATACAAAAAATTAAGAGAGTAAAAGATTACCTCACACATCCTACTGCTTTTAGTTTGTCTGTCAGTTTTTTTGGTACTGATGCCTCTTCTGCACATTCTTTAATAGCACATTGTCTGACACTCTGTCCTGACGTCAGCCCACCTGCACAATGATATGAAAATGTCAAAAACACAGAGAAATCTGTTTTACTCAACGTCTGTGTAATATAAAGTAAAGCTGATTAAAAGATATCGTTCATCACGCTATGCAATTAATATTTTGAGATATTTAGCCTTGGTCCCAAATTTTACAATCTCCATTAGTGACATTTTTTTTATCGCTTAAAAACTTATATTCTGATCTATACTTACCATGTTATCTAACATATTAAGATATGTAGGTCTAGAGTTTGATCGTCTACTAAGCCACATCATTAACTGGTTGTCTTTTGTAGCATAACCATTGATGTGTACAGCATAAACTATTAAACCAAACAAACCTGCAATATTGCTTGATGAATAAGTTTCTTATTTATTTGCAATATCATTCTTATTTATTACAATAATTGTTTATCTTCTTTTATTCTTATATTCACATATAAGAATATGTAATTCTGTATAAATATCTGATGTAATTCTGTCAAAATATCTGAAGTAATTCTGTATAAATATGTGATGAGGTGTGATGAGATGATTTAAGCTGTTAATTGTCTCCTTAATAATATCTTTGTTATGACAGGTTATAGGTATTCCTATGGGCATAAAATGCACCCCTTTAATAGAAGACTTGTTCTTTTCCTGTTATGAATCACAGTTTATGACTAAACTCAGTAAAGACCCGTGCATTTAATTGATAAATTCCGTTTTTTTTATGATATTTTTTTCGTTAAATTATCAGGAATTTTCTAAATATACTGCCGAAATTTAATCAACGGAACTTACTTTAAATGAATCAAATATAAACGGTGATAACTGTCCTTTTCCAGGATTTAGATATTTAAGTTTTACACGGGAAACTCTACACTTAAATTTACGACAAAAGGAACGATTTTTCGTTCCCTATTGTTAATTTTCATTTTTGGAAGGTGATGTTCATTTGGCAACATCTTATGGTGTTTATATATCACAACTTGTTCGTTATGCATGTGTCTGTAGTGACGTTTTGGATTTCCATGAACGTAATCTATGTATTACTAGTAAATAATTAAGTCAGGGATTTCGATACCACAAATTACTTAAACCTTTACTAAATTATTCCATAGATATAAAAATTTGGTTTTGAATACAAAAAGATGTGGTATGATTGCCAATGAGACAACTCTTCACAATAGACCAAATGACACAGAAATTAATAACTATAGGTCACCGTAGGGCTTTCTACAATGCCCAAAGCCCATAAAGCATAGTCAGCTATAAAAGGCCTCGAAATGACTAATGTAAAATAATTCAAACGAAAAAACTAACGGCCTAATTTATGTACAAACTAATGAACGAAGAAACAAATATGTAACACAGCAACAAACGACAACCACTGAATTACAGGCTCCTGACTTGGAACAGGCACATACAGAATGCTTAATGCTATGATTATTCTATCCTATATTATTTGTAAGTAAAATATATGTTTTAAAATTTAGCAAGAAAGATCCGATTCCCGATTTTGACATTTTGACTGACTGTTAACTCGCATTGCGGTTGCAGCATACATTGTAGGAGACGCTTACCCTGTTACTACCGTGGCCTATACATCATAGATGGATCTGCATTATTACAGTAGTTGGGTGCATATAGCAGATACCTCACAATCTTATTATTTATCATTTTGGTATAAAATATTAATTAATTTACCAATCACACTTCGTTAGACGTTCGTTTTTGTTTTTTGGGTTTTTTTTCTTAGTATTTTTTTGTATTTGTTTCTTTTCCTTAAATCAATAAGTATAAAAATTATCAAAAAAAATAATCTTCATACATGATCATGATGATGGATATCACAATTAAAAATTGTTTCTCTCTAAATATCATAGTTTTCATGATAATAGGCAAAAATGAAAAAAAATGGTCATATATGGGCAATAACTCCTATACAAATTTGTCTTACAGTTTTGACATACATGGACAATTAGTAGAGCTCATTATGCTGAACATTTTTGCTCCATTCAGATTTTCTCTATTTATAACGGCTCAAAAATAATAGACAAAACTTGCATTTTACCCCTATGTTCTATTTTTAGCCATGTCAGCCATGTTGGTTGGTAGGCGGGGTCATCGGACACATTTTTTAAACTAGATAGCCTAATGATGATTGTGGCCAAGTTTGGTTAAATTTGTCTCAGTAGTTTCAGATAAGAAGATTTTTGTAAAAGATTACAAAAATTTACCAAAAATTGTTAAAAATTGACTATAAAGAGCAATAACTCCTTAACGGATCAATTGACCATTTTGGTCATGTTGACTTATGTGTAGATCTTACTTTGCTGTACATTATTGCTGTTTACATTTTATATCTATCTATAATAATATTAAAGATAATAACCAAAAACTGCAATTTTCTTAGAATTACCAATTCAGGGGCAACAACTCAACAGCGGGTTGCCTGATTTGTCTGAAAATTTCAGGGCTGATAGATCTTGACCTGATGAACAATTTTATTACGTCAAATTTGTTCTGAATGCTTTTGTTTCAGAGATATAAGCCAAAATCTACATTTTACCCCTATGTTCTATTTTTAGCCATGACGGCCATCTTGGTTGGCGGGCCAGGTCATCGGACACATTTTTAAACTAGATACCCCAATAATAATTGTGTCCAAGTTGGGTTAAATTTTGCCCTGTAGTTTCAGAGGAGAAGATTTTTGTAAAAATAAACGGACGACGACGGACGACGGACGACGGACGTCAAGTGATGAGAAAAGCTCTCTTGGCCTATTGGTCCAGGTGAGGTAAAAAGTATATCACAATTATAACCAAACAGACGTAAAGGTATAAACATGATAAAATTGAATATCTTAAAACAATAATATTATAATTTTAATAAATTTATCTTTAAGATAAATTTATTAAAATTAATAAATCAAGATCATAAACATAAAATTATCTTATCATCCAAATTTTGAGGTTCGAAGATTACTCACAAATTTAGAATCAGTGATCATGCACTACAATAAACTCATCATAGATACCAGGATTGAAATGTTGCACGCCAGACGCGCGTTTCGTCTACATTAGACTCATCAGTGACGCTCAAATAAAAAAAGAGTTGAGAAGGTCAAATAAAGTACGACGTTGAAGAGCATTGAGGAACCAAAATTCCTAAAAGTTTTGCCAAATACAGCTAAGGTAATCTACTCCTGAAGTAGAAAAGCCCTAGTATTTCGAAAATTCAAAGTTTTGTAAACAGTTAATTTATAACTATGACCATATCAATGATAATTCATGTCAACACAGACGTGCTGACTAATTTGAATCTGTCGTTTTGAAAAATTACAAGGATCAGAAAATAATAACTTGCTGAGCAATGTCATTTCTTTCTGTCTAGTGACGTATTTACTAAAATATTCGAAAACAATTATTTAAATATGTTATACTTTTGAAGATAATTTTAATAACTTAACAAAATTTATTATAATTAAAAGGCCGCTGAATCCATCCCTACTAAGCAATATTGAAATAGTGAAATCCTTTAAAAAGAGTGCAAACGCTGAAATGTCTCGCCTGTTTTACTTATAAATGAATTCATGTTTTGAAAGTCTGTAATATGAAGGTTTTACTACAAGTATCAAAGAAAATCAACATTTTTTTTTATCGTATTTTTTCTTTTTTTTTTTTTTTTGTATATTAAACATATTTTATTCATTAAAATATGAAGAGGATTGAACAACAGGCATAACCTATAAAAGCTCTCTCCATACTACACGTACAAGGTATAATCAAATATTAACAACTGTATTTAAAATAATATAATATAGTTGGAAATGCATGCTACTTTTGAGCACACACAAACAAATACATATTTACAGTGTTAATCACTAAATGTTTAGTATATTTAAGTCTGTAGACAATTAATCATAATTTATTCAAGTACCCTGAGACATGTTAATATCCTTTATAAGTCACTAGTAATATATATATAAGGTTTGGAAGAGACACTAAGCTTACTAAGTGGAATAAACGAAATAATGTTGAAAAAAGAAGGAAACAAATGAAACAAAACGGTGAGTGTCACTGATATATATCTGAACAGATTAAAGAATAGCAATATTTATATCATAAGAAAATAATCTGTTTCCAAAAAGTAATAAGTCAATATTTATGTCAGCATTATCATCAACAATTGAGTAAATGGAATCAAGTAAGATCTGTCTTACATCATTGTACTTAGGGCAAGTAAATAAGAAATGCTGGTAATCCTCAGGTTGGTTACAGTTTGCACAAATAGTGTTCTCCGATAAAAATTGATTAAACAAATGAGATTTTAGAATGCTGGCATTATTTCTAAGTTGACAATGACTAATATTATGTTTCCTTATCCCATAATTAAAAGGTTTAAATATTTCATCAGTCCTCTAGCATTTGTCCAGTCTACCTCTAAATATACATAAACTTTGGGATTTTTGTATACTTAGAGGAAGACTATTCCAAAGTCTTATAGTTGAAGAATGAAACTATTAAAGTAGAAGCTAGTTCTAGCAAGTGGGAGGTGAAAAGTATTTTGTTCATTCCCCAAAGTATATTGAGTTTGTCTAGGAAAATATGGCTGGACTAATTCATATAATGGTTTACTTTTATAAATTTTGACTTGGATAGAGAGTTGTCTCATTAGCACTCATACCACATCTTCTTATATCTAAGTATGCAGGTGTCATCCCATTTAATATTTTATAAAACAGTATATGCTTATGTTTATTTCGTCTATTCTCCAAAGCTTCTAATCCAAATTCAATATAAAGTTTATGTTTTGAGGAATTACGCCGTAGCTCAGTAATAATTCTAGCAGCTTCTATTTGATTTTTTTCAAGAAGCTCGGACTCGTGCTGAGAGCAGTTGCCCCAAACAACATCACCATATTCTAGTATAGGTTTAATAAAAGCATAGTAAATACGTATAAGTGACTTCCTGTCTAAAAATGTTTAACTTGACGAAGTACAGATAAACCAAATGAATTTATAACAAGCGATAAGGAATGTTATTTTGCACTCGATAATGTCCGCGTATATATATATCGGTTACCAGTCAAACACGAAAGTTACGTAAGTAGAAATCTCGTCGGCAACAATACATCGGAATGCCCTCACGGTCATCGCGATGTAAAAATGAATTTGAATATTCCAAAGTATTGGGCTTTAAATGTGATCAAGTAACACTAGTTTTGTTATATTTATGTATACTTTCTAAATAAAACAAATATTATCACCTACTACGAAATACCTAGACGATCACTTAGGTATGACATAACAATCATACCTTTTCATTTTTTCCACGTACGTACAAAAATGCAATGACATAATAAACAACAGTAGAAAATGGGTCAAGCTCAATATAAAACAACCTATTCATTCAGTAAATGGTTCGATGTCGACTAAATAGATAAAGAGGTCATTAAATATCTAAAGTTTGATTAAATTCTTTGTCTTCCCAGCTGTTGACAGGTAAGTTATGCATACTTGTTTTCAAATTAGTCGAATGTTACTGAATTGGTTTTTTTTCCTTAATGTAAATGTAAGGTTCCGCTGAGTGAAAATCTAGGATGATATGGCATTTACACAAAATCATGTCTCTGACTGTCTTTAAATTAAGGTTAATCATAATCTTTTGACAAATATCGCCGTATTTACTCTGAATACAGACAACCCTGTACACGTGGTTAAGTTTTAAGACATGACAGGAACCACAATATTAGATTTTAAATGCATTTTATATTGAAAATATTTTAAATTTTGATGGATTTTTAGATTTTTTTTTTTTTTTCGTTCTCACAGAAGGTGTAAAAATAACCAAGTTTGGAAAAATGTTTGAGATGTTCTTACTGGGAAAATGATAAGTATCTGACAACAATTGGTGATTTAAACTTGAAATTCGGGTGTTATTGTTGGCACTTCTGTGGAAACGACAAAAAAAATTCTCAAAATCAAGTTAAGTGTAAAATTTACTGAAACATAAAAAGGCATTTAAAGTTCCTGTCATGCCTTAAAACTTTACCAGGTGCACATGTTTGTTTGTACTCACGACTCGAGACAGCCATATTTTTCAATTCCTTCTGATGAACCTAGGCTCAAATCTGTATATTTGTAATTTATTTAATTATAGCGTTGACAGTGTAGTCATATTTCCCTAAACTTTTTTTTTTTGGTCAATTAATCATATCGGTGTTTGGTGGATGAAGATTGTCTATAGTCACGTCACAGTGAGTTGTATTTTAATCTCTTCTATGCCTGTATTTCTTGAGTGCACACCGCATAGTGCAGCTAGATGAACATTGATTCTTTGTTAAAATGAACTAATAGATTGGATCTATTTTATATCATTTATCTATTAGTACCTGTGTCGTACCTGTCGTAGTCGTTGTCAACTGTAGGTGTAGACAAGTATTGAAAAGGTCTATTAAATAGGATGCCTACACGCCTCCACATAATTATTAACGACTAAGCCATCGGTTCTACAATTGTGTACAAAGGAAGATAGCTCAAATGAAGATATTGTCGACATATCTTTCTTTGCTTAATACAATGCAATGTTTGATTTTAGATTCAAAGCACAATGGTAGTAATCTTGAACCCCTCATTGATCACGAGCACTTTTATTTTCTAATGGGTCTGTGTTTGG